GCGAGGGTCTTGGCAAGAGGCGTGGAGTTAAAAGATAAAGAATCACATATAAAGTGGGAGTTGTCACAGTTGTTCTTTGTTGATGACACTGTGCTCTTTGGAGATTCTGAAGAGAAGTTGCAGAGATTGGTGGATGAATTTGGTAGGGTATGCAAAAGAAGAAAATTAAAAGTGAATACAGGAAAGAGTAAGGTTATGAGGATAACAAAAAGATTAGGTGATGAAAGATTGGATATCAGATTGGAGGGAGAGGGTATGGAGGAGGTGAATGTATTCAGATATTTGGGAGTGGACGTGTCAGCGGATGGGTCTATGAAAGATGAGGTGAATCATAGAATTGATGAGGGGAAAAGGGTGAGTGGTGCACTTAGGAGTCTGTGGAGACAAAGAACTTTGTCCTTGGAGGCAAAGAGGGGAATGTATGAGAGTATAGTTTTACCAACGCTCTTATATGGGTGTGAAGCATGGGTGATGAATGTTGCAGCGAGGAGAAGGCTGGAGGCAGTGGAGATGTCATGTCTGAGGGCAATGTGTGGTGTGAATATAATGCAGAGAATTCATAGTTTGGAAGTTAGGAGGAGGTGCGGGATTACCAAAACTGTTGTCCAGAGGGCTGAGGAAGTGTTGTTGAGGTGGTTTGGACATGTATAGAGAATGGAGTGAAACAGAATGACTTCAAGAGTGTATCAGTCTGTAGTGGAAGGAAGGCAGGGTAGGGGTCAGCCTAGGAAAGGTTGGAGGGAGGGGGTAAAGGAGGTTTTGTGTGCGAGGGGCTTGGACTTCCAACAGGCATGCGTGAGCGTGTTTGATAGGAGTGAATGGAGACAAATGGTTTTTAATACTTGACGTGCTGTTGGAGTGTGAGCAAAGTAACATTTATGAAGGGGTTCAGGGAAACCGGCAGGCTGGACTTGAGTCCTGGAGATGGGAAGTACAGTGCCTGCACTCTGAAGGAGGGGTGTTAATGTTGCAGTTTAAAAACTGTAGTGTAAAGCACCCTTCTGGCAAGACAGTGATGGAGTGAATGATGGTGAAAGTTTTTCTCTTTCGGGCCACCCTGCCTTGGTGGGAATCGGCCGGTGTGATAATAATAAAAAAAAAAATTGGGATGTTTGAATGTACATGGATGTGGTTTAGATGATAAGAAAGAGTTGATTGTGAATGAAAAGGAGTTGGATGTCCTGGCTCTGAGTGAAACAAAGTTAAGGGCTCAGTGATTTTCAGTGGGGAGAAATAAATGTAATTAGGTCAGATGTATCTGAGTGTTAGAGCTAAGGAAGGCATATGGGTAATGTTGACTGATCAGCTATAGAAGGAAAAGTGGGAATATAATTGTATAAATTCAAGGATTATGTACATGAGGAAGAAAGGAATGTAGAGGAGAAAGAGAGGTTTTGAGAGATGTTAAGCAAGTGTTTAGGGAGTTTTGAACCAAGTGGAAAAGTAATTGTTGTGGAGATCTAAATGCTGAAGTGGGAGAAACTGTTGTAGAGGGCATAGTAGGTAAGTTTAGAGTGTCAGGGGTAAATGGGGGGCCTTTAATTGAACTTTGTATAAAAAGTGGTTTGGTAGATAATATGTATTTTAAGAAGTGAATAAATAAGCACACAAGTTATTTTATAGAGCATAATGACAGCAGTTTATTAGACTCCTAATAGATAAAAGGTTGATGGGTAGACTTCTGGATGTGCATGTTTTAAGAGGGGCTACAGATATATCAGATTATTATTAAGTTACAGTGATAGAGTGAGAGTTGGAAGTAAATGGGGTATGAAGAGAATGTCATTAGTGAGTAAGAGAGAAGTGAAAGTTTATAAATTAAAGGAGAAGGTAGTTAGGGTAAGATAAACCATACCACAGGCGGGGTTAGAACCCGCGATCAGTGTCTCAAAACTCCAGACCGTCGCGTTAGCCACTGGGCCAGCTAGTCCATAGTATGGTTTGTTTGCAATCATGTCATTACAATTTCGTGAGTCATGTAGGGTAAGATATAAGGAACTGTTGGGAGAAAGATGGGATAGTGAGGGGTATAGGTCAGGGCTACTCAGTTGGCAGCCTGAGGTCCAAATCTGGACCTTCTGAGTGTTCTAGTTGGGCTGCAGGCTTCAGGAGAAAGCTTAGTTAAATAACAGCTGTTGCCATGTTCAGGATCAGGTGGTGCACAAGAGCGGGATTAATGCATTATTCTATTGGAATGGAATGCATACACTGAATGGAATACTGTATTCTAGCATAGCTCAATAGTGATATTTTCTTCCAGTCAGTGGTAATTCATATTGGTAATTATCACTTATGCATTGAAGTTGACATTTTTGGAAAGAGAGTTTGGCCGCATATGGGCTGGGAAGTCTGGCGACCCTGGTGCAACTTTCAATCAAGAAATATTGATGTCAAACCATCATTTCACTGACCACAGATGGAGCTCCTGCCATGGTTGGTCGAGAGAGGGGACTAGTCGCAAGATTAAAGGAAGATAATCCCGACATGATAACTTATCACTGCATTATCCAACAATCAGTACTGTGTGCCAGTCTGGGAGATGAGTATGGTGACCTCATTGAGATTATTATGAAGCTAATAAACTTCCTTCGATCAGCATCAGCGCTACAACACCATCTACTCCAAAGCTTTCTAACTGAGGTCAATGCATATTATGATGATTTACTTCTGCACAACAGTGTGAGATGATTGAGGAAGGGAAGGGTTTTGGAGTGATTTTGGGCAGTCACAAAAAAGTTACAGGCTTTCCTCACGGATCAAAACAGTGTGAAAGCAAAGACATTTTCTGATTTTTTGGAAGATGACAAGAAAATGGAGAGTGTTGGATTTTTGACAGACGTAATGTCACATCTGAACGATCTTAATGTTAAACTGCAAGGGGAAAAACACACGATCTTCAACATGATCTCAACAATTCAAGCTTTCCAAAAGAAATTGGAACTTTTCACTAACAATGTTTGGAGCCAACTTTTACATTTCCCCAGACTTTTGGAGCAACATAATGATGAAACAGATACTAAGTATGTCTATTTTATTGAGAAGCTGATCAAAAATATCAAGTTACACTTTGATGACTTTGTTCTTGGAAAACAGTTGCTGGTGTTCATTCAAAACCCCTTTCTAGTGGTGGATATCACAGAATTCTCAGTCGAAGCAAAACAAGCCTTCAAATGGGTAGATGTTGCAAAAATTCAGCTGAAACTCATTGACTTTCAAGAGAATGTGATGCTGAGACAAGTACTCTGTGATTGTGCACCAGAAACATCTTGATCAAAGGAAAGATCCAGTGCAAATTTCCCAACGCTTCACAGATTAGCAGTCCAGATTCTCAGTGTTTGGGTCCACCTAGTCTGTGTTCTCAACTATGAACTTCGTGAAGAACAAGTTCCACTCCTGTATGACCAGTGAACACCTCCTCCACTGTCTTTGACTAGTTATTGCTCCATTAGTACCAAGATTTCAGGAATTAACATGAAGCAAGTGTCATTTCTCTCACTAAACTAGCATAACAGAAAAACAGTACACAGGCACACATACATGATACAAAAACAACTTACCTACAATCATGCACAGATTACACCAGTGTTGTTGATCTTCACATGTTAAAATTCAGAATTTTTTTTTTTTTTTTTAATAAAACTTCAAATTCTGTTGTAGTGTAATTTTTATTATATACCATTCTGTTAATCAGTATATATATTAATTTTTCAGTTTGAAAACTCCATTTAAACCAATTTGATTAAAAAATCCAAAACTTGTTTGATATAATGTAAAAATTATTTTTTCATACTATCTTCATATTTTGTCAATTTTTATAAGATGAGGATTGAAAATGAATTTAATAGAAAATGGTGAGTACGCTGACCTATACTCGGATTTGTTGCTTTTCTTGATTGCATTTAAAAAATATATCCGGACCTTTGCATACATTGGTACTTGTCCAAGTGGACCTTTGCTCATACTGGTTGAGTAGCCCTGGTGTAGGTAATGGGGAGAAGGTTGAAGAGGTATGAGGTGGGGTTAAGTTGGTTGGGTTGGGTTGGGTTAGGTTAGGTTAAGTTAGGGTTGTTAGGGCCAAGAGTCTCTTGCAGTCCTTTAATTAAAACAAGAATATGATGTGTCACATCCTGACTACTGTAGTTGAATTCAAATTTATTTTTGAAAGAGTAATGTATAAATTATCATAAAAGCCTCAAAGAACTGTAACATTGTTAAGATTATTCACAAAATACCCACACTTTCAAAAAGAAAGTAAGACAACATTTTGGTCTATCCTGGACCATGGTCAAGAACTTTTGTCATTGTCTTGACAGTGGTCGTAGACTGGCCAAAATGTCATCTTAACATTTTTTTTTTTCTGCAAGTGTGGGTATTTTATGAATTGAATCCTAAGTATGGCACCTTTCATGCCAGAGATTAGATTTGGTGTGACTGCCTTTCATCTCGCATAGAAAGCATAGCTTTTTACAAAGGCAAATAGGTGTTCCTTTGTTCTATGTTCCTTAGAATTATATTGTATATTTTTCCAGTATATACTAGTTAAGGATCTTTACTGTATATAAAAATGCATGTGGTTTCTGTACAGTGATGTATATTTAAATTTTTTCCATATACGTACTTATAAACAATATAGTCCATTTTTCATGAATTTTGCATAGCTTACCAGAATGGATGATGAACTTAGTGCTGTTATGCATTAATTTTAACACTACATAAGTGAAAAATTACTTTTATAAAATTGACATAGTGGATGACTTATAAAGGTCTACATATGCTTGTCCTACTAATACTCAGGTTGTGGCAAAATGTGAGGAATGATGCTGTGAATGGTATGTGTCTAGGAATGTAGTGAATGTGGGCACAATAATAGGAAGTGTTCTGCCATGTTCTGTGGTGCCACTGCTTTGTGTTGCTAAAACAGTAACTGTAGTAACACTGGTCCTGTTGCTCCTTCCTCCTGCCCTCTCCATCCCTCCTGTGTGGGTCAACAACAACTATAGACTGGAAGTGAGCCCAGCTGAGCCTGCCCGTGTTCGAGCCTTCTCTGTGGGGTCACGAGTCAGTCTCAGGCTTGCAGGTGGGAGAGCTGGCCAGGTGGCAGGTGGTGCTATTGCTGCCACATCTGTTTCTGTCACCGAATTCTCTCCCTCTATTAAGGAGAAGGGCAAACAAGTGAAAAGCAAGTCAACAAGGTAGGGATGCTATCTCTGCACAGTACCAATTGATGTACTTTAGGAGACCTTGCAGCAGACAGAGGTATATGATTAATAACTCTATGGGATGTAATCTTCACAAAGTGTCAAGAGTGTTCATGTGTGTCTCATCTCTTGGGATTTATGATCTGGTTATTGTCTGATGGTATGTGTTCATTTAATATCCTAAAGCCAACTATAGCTTCACAGTGAAGCTTAAGATTTTGAGTAGGAATTGATATCCATGTACTATAAGCTGAAGTACAGTAGTGCTTTTTATTATGTACTTTTTTATAGTACACTTCTCTTTATTATTTTTCAAATTTCAAGACACTTATTGAAGTTTAATTTGATCTTATTTGTGAAATATAGTTTGCTTGCTCTAATAGTGATGCCTAATTGTTACCCACAACCACAGTCACTTGTTAATGGCATGAATTGTGCTCTTCTAAACATATTGCTAATCCTGTTTAAATGTGATAATGTGTGTGTGCACACATGCGTATGCATGTACTCGCCTAATTGTGGTTGCAGGGGTCGAGCCATAGCCCCTGGCCCTATGCATGTATATGTGTGTGTACATAATAAATCTAGTTGAAAATGTTTGTCTGTTAACTCAGGTAAGTTGTAAAATGATATTGGTGGTAATACGCTGCAGCAGAGGAAAGATAGTCTTAGCCGAGAGATCACTGAATTAGAGCAAAAACTTTGAATGTCATACCTAACAGAAGTACAAAGGGAACAAAGGGCCATACAGGACATTGCAAGAAACCCAAAATATTTTTATTCCTATGCAAAATCCAAGCTAAGAACTACCTGTAGAATTGGACCATTATTGAGAGGAGATTCATATACTGATGATGAACAGGAAATGAGTGAAATCCTAAAAGAACAGTATGAGTCAGTGTTCAGCAACCCACTAAATAACAGCAAGGTAGAAAATGCAGAAATATTTTTCACTTCAGCAGACGCCCACGCAGACCAACTAACTGACATTAGTACAAATCCCATAGATTTGAAAAAGAAATGGACAACATGCCCACTCATTCAGCACCTGGACCAGATTCATGGAATGCTCTGTTTATAAAGAAGTGCAAAGTAAAATTAGCATGAGCCCTCAGTATTCTTTGGAGAAAGAACTTAGACCTAGGTGAAATACCGGAGGCCTTAAAGAGCACAGACATAGCTCCTTTGCAGAAGGGAGGTACTAGAGCACTAGCTAAAAATTACAGACCAGTAGCCCTAACTTCTCACATCATAAAAATCTTCGAAAGAGTGATGAGACGGCAGATTACAAATTTCATGGACCAGCATAACCCCAACCAGCATGGTTTTAGAGCAGGACGATCATGCCTGTCACAGCTGCTGAACCATTATGACAGAATTACAGAGGCAGTGGAAGACAACCAAAACGATGTGATTTACACAGATTTTACAAAGGCATTTGACAAATGCGATCATGGCCTGATAGCACGCAAAATGAGGCCATGGGCATGAAAGTCCCTATGGTAGAGGACACTGAAAAAGTACAGAAAGACATAAGCAGGGTTTTCCAGTGGGGAGTGGAGAACAACATGACATTCAATGGTGATAAGTTCCAGCTGCTTAGGCATGGAAAGAATGAAAAACTCAAAGGGAACACTACATAAAACTCAAGAGGGTCACCAAATAGAACGAAAGGAACACATAAAAGACCTGGGAATAATTATGTCAGCCGACCTTCCTTTTAACCCTTAGACTGTCAAAACCCCAAATCCTGAAGTGTCCCCTGATGTTGAAAAATATTCGAAAAAAACAAAATTTCTTGTGAAAATGTTAAGATTATTTTTCTGATTGTTTTAAGCCCCCAAAATTTATTTTGCCATCAGTAATTACCAAGATATAGAGGCATAAAATTGGCAGAAAATGAGCCGTGTATGGCAACAGCGGCGAATGCCGCTCACCCGGTAAACTTTTTTTTTTACTCCCATTCGAAGGTATCTTGCTTTTTCCACTACTTTATTTTTTTCAGGTAAATTATGTGGCTTGTGAGACCAGAGTAAGGTGCAATGTACATATATACATTCGTTGTATACAACACAATAAGCGCACAAACATAATTATCAATATATTGTTTACAAGACTTGTATACACAAACAAGCAATACAAAAAATTGTTTATTACTATTTCTTTTTCTTTCAACACACCGGCCGTATCCCACCGAGGCGGGGTGGCCCAAAAGGAAAAACGAAAGTTTCTCCTTTCAAATTTAGTAATATATACAGGAGAAGGGGTTACTAGCCCCTTGCTCCCAGCATTTTAGTCGCCTCTTACAACACGCATGGCTTACGGAGGAAGAATTCTGTTCCACTTCCCCATGGAGATAGGAGGAAATAAACAAGAACAAGAACTAGAAAGAAAATAGAAGAAAACCCAGAGGGGTATGTATATATATCCTACCATCATGTAAAACAATTACAGGCTTTCGTTTTACACTCACTTGGCAGGACGGTAGTACCTCCCTGGGCGGTTGCTGTCTACCAACCTACTACCTAGGTTTATTACTATTGTTCTATAATATATATACAAATGTGCAGTCACTGGACATGTTCCTAGAAGTTCTGCAGCTTGTGGAACTCTTTGAAACATGGTTTCATACACAGTGGTGTTTTACACTCCTCACACATAAAATGAGTGTCTGCATTTTTTTTTTTTTTTTGTATGTGCACAGACAAAATGCCTCATCTGAGCAGTTTTCTTCATAGTAATAGTAGCAGACAGTTGTGTTAGGTAGTTATCCTAGGTAAGTGTGTCATCATTCCTTCCTACCTACCTTTCTTTGTCTTCATTCTTTATTTATTCATTCTTTCCTTTCTTCTGGTTTCTATAATATATACACACATATATAGTCACTGGACACTTTCATATAACTGCTATTAGCTTCAGCAAGTTTGTGTTGTGTGGACTTCTAAATGTGCTGAGTCAGCTGTCAAAATGACATATTGTATCATTACTCATTCCCCCTACCGCCTATCAAAACAGTGGGGTCAGATGCTCGCTTCCCCTCCATCCTCCTACCTAATTATCTTTCTCCTTCATTCTCCCTCATTCTCTTCCTCATTCTTTCCCTTATTCTCTCTCTCATTCTTTCTCTCATTCTCTCTCATTCTCCTTCATTTTTCTGGTATCCTGAGCAGTGCTTTTGGTCACAAACTCCTGAAAACCATGAAATTGATCTTCACCGATACTTCCATCCATGTTAGAGCATCACTTGGGAAGAGAAGAGTCCCAGATTTGCCAGGAGTCAGATATTTCTTACTGCTAGGCATGATGAACAAGGACTACTGAAATGGCATTCCCACAGTGCACCACTGGCCCCCCGATTTTTTTATATGGTGCACACTGACCATGCAGACCCATTCTCTCGCATGTGGCCTACCAGCATTTTCCTGCTTGATTTGAAGCCGCTAGAATTTTGGCATATTAATACATCAAACACGGTGGCTCATAAGACGTATACAGTGGACCCCCGCATAACGATTACCTCCGAATGCGACCAATTATGTAAGTGTATTTATGTAAGTGCGTTTGTACGTGTATGTTTGGGGGTCTGAAATGGACTAATCTACTTCACAATATTTCTTAGGGGAACAAATTCGGTCAGTACTGGCACCTGAACATACTTCTGGAGTGAAAAATATCGTTAACCGGGGGTCCACTGTATATATGACCAAAACAGTCAAAGGGTTAAAGACCACAAGAAGACAAAGATCATGACAACCAGGAAGATGACAGGGTGAGTATTGTGAACTTTCAAAACAAGGGAAATAATGCGAATGGTGACACTCTTCAAATCGCTAGTGTTCCCTCATTTAGAATTTTGCACAGTGCTGACAGCCCTATTCGAAGCAGGAGAAATATCAGAGCTGGAACAAATACAGAGATCGTTTACTGCTCACATTGAGCCAATAAAACACCTAAATTACTGGGAGTGCCTTCAAGTCCTGAACATGTACTCATTGGAGCAGAGGACAGAGAGATACATGATAATATATACAGTGGTCCCTCGTTTTTCGTAATTAATCCGTTCCTGGAGCTGTTACTATAAACGAAATTTACGATTTGCAAATCAATTTTCCCCATAAGAAATAATGTAAATACAATTAATCCGTTCCTGACACCCAGAAGTACAGTGAACCCCCGCATAACGATCACCTCCGAATGCGACCAATTATGTAAGTGTATTTATGTAAGTGCGTTTGTACGTGTATGTTTGGGGGTCTGAAATGGACTAATTGTTGCGAATAAGAAATTTTTTAAAGAACTTCAGAATGTGGCCTGTTACCATTTATTTCTTATGCAACAAGATTTTTGGATCCAAGTTCTTTAAATGTCTTTTAGAGTCTAGGGGAAATAATTTCAACTGGGAAACTCCATAGAATAATATTCAAATTTATTAAAGTATTTAAATACAATACTTTATCTTCTCTTTGTAGTTAATTTAACTTAATACTTTGTACAATAAAATTACCATGTACATTTAGTTCCAAATCATGGAAATATCATATTAATAAGGAAGTTTAATTATTCTTCCTGTATCTAAGTCCTCATTAATATTTACGTCTCTTTCTTAACAAGACTGTAGACTCAAAATACAAAAGGTACAAGATTTAACAAGACCTTTGAATCTGGCCATAAAGTATCTATGGATTACTGAACTGACCAAGAATATAAATATCAAAAGAGTCTTTCAAAGTAATGAGGAACAAAGTGAGTCAGCTCTATAGTCCAATTCTCAAAACCATTCAACTGTACACCGTAAGAGCCAATATACGATCAGTTGTCAGGGCTAGAGCTGGGAGCAGACTGACTACTTGCCAGTCTGTTGAAGTGTCGTCAGGTTGGATCAGCTGAGCCACGTCAGCCAGCCGGACATAAACAACTGAACAATTCACCGGATGGTTCCGAGACTTAAACTCTATACAGTGGACCCCCGCATACCGTTGGCATCACATAACGTT